TTTATGTTTTAGAATTGTCCGGGTGGGTTTGCATTGGAGCAGAGCCGAAGCAGAACCAAAACAATGCTCTTCTGCAAGATATATGTCTATTTGTTAACCGTTCAAGGTCCAGATGTTACACAGTGTTAATTTAAGGTTAAAGATTTGTTTCTCTAACCCCTAAATATGAACAATAATATAGATGTTTTACTTGGCAATCACCCCTAATTATTTGTGAGAATTATTCGTGCCCAGTTAACAACTATTTTCCCTAATGTGACAAAGACAAACTGCCTCTTCTGTCCCCGGCTGTGGAGTTCTGTGGGGATAAAGAACCAAACACTCAAGTTCATTAATCAGATTGTTTACATGGCATCACTCTCTTAATTTTACATGGTGTTGCATACTACATGCTACAATACAACAAAGTGTTTCTCAACAATAAAGCTAGATTCATGATGTGTGTAAATTCCAGATGTCATCCAGACCACAGGAATGGTGTAAATATAACACCAACGTTTCAAGCATTTCCGTTTTGTTAACAAACCCCAGTGTTGATTTATCAAAGAGAAAGTTATAATGAGATTTACCAAAGCAAGCAGATAATCCAGGGAATATATCTTGTGTGTGTCCCGGGGGCAGGCACGTGCACAGGTAGGGCTCAACCAAAATGACACGATCAGACATGATGGATAACTGGCTGCAACTAAATGTGTTTGGAGTGCAACTTCACAAACAGTAATGCAGTGAAATGCGGGAATGTGTAATTGCCTTTGTGTATAAATGTGTCTCAATGTGCATATACAGTATATGGATATACGTGAGAGCTGTTGTCGGACTCAAAATTACCAAATTACTCCCAGTCATTATTTCTTTTACTGTCACTAAGCATTAGTCCATTTTTCCATCTCTACAGCATTACCTTGATTGAAAAATGGTAATGAAGATACATAATGAAGAGAGCTAATATCCTGCGGTCAATAAAACAACCTAATAAAGTCAGTAGACGTCCATCTATGTGCCGCGGCACCAGACAGCTGAAGTTTATCATCAGACAGATGACTGAATTACCTTCTCAAAATAAGGTAAAGGTCTTTTGATGAGAATGGTGACTAGTATCTCAAAAAGGATTATTAGGGATAATTGTTTGTTAGCAAGCATCACTGTTGCCCATACTTGATCAAGGTTGTTATGCTGAAATTTTGTGTGTGAAATGCAGTCATTTCTAAAGGAATCCACGCAACTGGGAATTTCACATGAGGGCGAAAGATTTTCCCATGCAAATTTCACTGTACTGACCAACAGAAAGCTGTTTTGTTTGAAACTCACTTCTGTGTGAGCAATGCTTCATCGCTACAATATTGACAACAGACAATACAACTTTTTGCAAAAACCACCTAGTTGCCACTCAAACCATCCTATAGCAACCACCTATCAATGCCCTATTAACCACAAAGCAGCACCTAACCACCTAACAATACACTAGCAACCACTTGCAGCTCTAGCAACATGCTAAAAAACACTCAGAAACACAGGCTATGCCCAAAAAAAACAACGAAGACCCTGCTGTCTGTTTAAACTAAACACCCTTGCTGGTGAGTTTTGCACAGGTAAACACCACATCATTTTAATTAAAAATCAAGTTAGTGGCATGCTGATAACATTCCTGATTTCATTCCTTTTAAATTTGAATGTGTTTAATTATGTGCAGTGCAGTAGGTCTGTACAGTCAGAAAGATGTGTCTGCACATGGAATATCCTGTGGAGACACCATATGATGCATGTCTTCAATAACAGAACATTTCTAATCGGCTGGAAAGGAACGCTTATGGTTTTTGAATCAAAGCCCCTCTTTTAGTACTCCATCTGTTTCCTCTGGATACGGTTGGTATTGGGTTTCTTGGTTGTAATGCCACATTTGATTTAATCTCGTTTTTCTTTTACTCGCACCCCTCCCTTTATTTCAGGTTGATTTTTTTTTTTTTTTGTCTGTTTAACAACACTTCCCACAGGAAAGAAAAATCACAAATGGGATCTTTAACATCTCAGTTGTTTCTCCTAGACGGCAATGAGATTACATGGACAGCAAATGAAGACTGAACACCTACTCAAAATTCTTCTCCCAAGAACCCAAGAAGAAAGTAATTTGTGAGTTTGAAAAATGTCTCAAACTGTGCTCAGATATTTCAAGATGCCCACATGATTTTCACCCTGAGCTTCACAAAAGTTATTCTGTGTTTTCAGATTTCATTGTCCTTGCCATCATGATGTTTGGTAACATAGCCACATACTGGTCATAAAATACAAATACTGACAAGTCTTCTAACTCTTCGATTATGTGGCATGCCATTGTGATCTTAAGCTCATTCTTTTTCCTTCATGCAAAGTTCAAAAATACCGCAATATTATCTATAATCTATATTGTTTCTTATTTGTAAAAATTTCTAAGACTATTCCAGTTATTTGTGATTAGTGGATGATTTTTTTTTCCCCAATAATGTATTATTAATAATTGTTAATTATTTTATATAATTTACACTATATATATTTATGTAACAATTTTATAATAATTAATTTCATAATTAAATGATTTAGTACATATTTTTATGCACTCACAATAAGCAATATGTGACTGATAACATATTTTAGAGGAGAGAATAACTAGAAAATATTGAAATTTCCATTGTTTCCAGACCTCACAATCAAAATTTTTAAAATTTCATTACATTTTCTCTGTAGAAACACTGTACCAAAATCTGAAATCAGGGATTTCAATATGAATTCATTACTCATCAAATTCCTCCATGACCAAATAATCTGAGCTGCTATCAAACTTCATTTTATATATCTATACTCCTACTGTGTCAACAATTGTCTCACTTGTGTCTTTTTTTATTTCTTCTAAGGAACTTTTCGAGAAACATCTGAGACAATCTTGATACTTGAATGAAACATATGCTAACTGAGAACTCAATTAATTCTCATGAGGTGTAAAACAACCAGCCGATAAGCTCATGTTGAGCGGGTGTCCTCGAGCACTTCATAGTGTCCAGATCCACTTATATGGAGGAGAAATCCAGCTGCACCTCCGAAATATTTGATGGGCTCAGAAGAGCCTGTGATCATGTGACTCTCTGAGTGCTCAAGCTCTGAACTAATAAAGCATGGGTTAAACAAAGACAAGCGCTAACAGATGTGTGTGAGCACTAGGCTCCGGATCAGTCAACAACAGACACGTAAAGCTGCCCGATTCACTTCTTGCGGTAAAACATTTGTCATCCACTCAGAGCCAAGCTTTTGGCAAGTATCTTTATCATTTCTTACCACGTTGCTGCCGCACAAAGAAACACACAACTGAAAACATCATGTAGCTCGCAGGAAGGAAGAATCACAAATGAGATCTTTTCAATATCTCCGTTATTTCTCATAAACGGATATGAGATTACATGAAGATCAAATGGAGACTTTTACTTAAAGGTATAGAAAACAAAAATCATTGCAATCATTTTTATTTCAACTAAGAAATTTTAGCAGAAAGTTGAACTTGGAATAGCATATTAGCATGCTAATCTATCTGCCATATTAAGATGTAGCTGAAACAATAAGAATCCCAGCTAACACAATTACGTAACTGTTACGTAGTGTGTTAGCTGTGATGCTAGTATGCTATTGTGAATTCAAATGAAACATAATTACAGCTGGCACTGCCCTCTAGTGGTGTGAGACTCTCAGTATGACAGGCTCAGAGCTCATTTAGCATGTTTCATAATGAGCAGCTGCTGTCGGTCTGTGTCCGCTGGGAGTAGAGGGGTCACGGATACCTGCTTCCTGCGGTCCCCAGCACATGGCCCTTGCTTTCTGGCACTGGAGTCGCAGACGCCACCGGTTCCATTCAGATCCCCTGGGCCAAATTAGAGGCCATTAATGGAGTTGCTGAGAATGGCATAATAGGGGTTGATAGGCAGCTCCAGCTGATCTGAGACCTGTCCTCTCACAGCTTCCTCTCGTGTCGGAGAGTTTAGCACAGCATGTTGTACAATTCTGTGAAAGACTAACACAACACACCACCTGATAAACACGCTTAATGAGGGAATCGGCAGTGTGTTTTTTGGGATAAAATGTGAAAGAATCCATTGCAACCTCTGAAAATGAGGTTGAATGTTGTTTTGTTTTTGTTTGGTTTTACAAACATTAGTCTCACTTCAGAGTATTGGTGGAGGGGGGGGGGGGGGT